TTACTACATTCTCATTAGTGGACAATCTAAGCAGCAGCAGCAGCAGCAGATAGAAAAAGTAGTAAGAATTAAATTTATAGATAGAATAACGATGGTATTTAAAATTTGTCTTGAATGAATAACTTTTAAATTCACTTAATGCCTAACGATCATCATTGTACTGAATAGATTTTATCAATAATGATCTATTAATCGATCGATTTCTCAAGACAGATTTCTTTTTTTTTTCTTATTTGATGAGTGTTCAAATGCTATCATTACATTTCCATCCAATGCTGAAAATGTGTTGATATTTTTAAAACTGAACTATTAAAGAAAGATTGATGAGGGTTGATGTGTCTTATCTTATCTGATATTAAGTGTTACAGCTGTTGTTATTTTCCGATACTATTCTTGATAATCCTACTTCTGAACAAGCGTAAATGGGTTAGCTTGTCCGGAACTAATTAGGTTATAGTAACCGAGTTTGGAAATTTTTAATTGTGTCAGCTACTCAGCCAACAACTCTTATTCTTATCCTTATAATCTCATAGATTTACGACACAGTATAAAAAGGTCACTCTTGTTTTGCTCTACACTAGCACAAAAACCAAGTTAAATGCTCTTTCTGCCTTTTAATGAAATCACATCTGCTAAACAAAAAAAAAAAAAAAAGATATCTCAGTGATAATATGAAATTTTCAATTGGTTTTCATATAGTAATAAAGAATGGAAAATAAACAAGTAGACAGACGCGTTTAATCTTCATGAAGTATCAAATTTTATTGTTTAAAGGACGGTGTAATTCTGAGGTATTCTGATGAATGGGTGTAAGCGGAATCGGTTTGTTTTTCAACTACTATTTTAACTTTCACACATTAGTTATCATTCATTTGATGTATCAATTAGGAATGTAATTATGTTGGAGAAGAAATCTGACAAAGTCATTTTTATTTGCATTAAAAATTTTATAAATTTCTTGCAGTTGAAAAAGATCTCAAGAAAAGTTCAAAAAAAAAAATTGTCACTAGACCGGTACAATTGTAAGAGTCTTTGTTGATTTCCTTTCTTAACAACTAACCGTCTCTATCAAATAGACAAATCAATTCGGTCTGACTGTTTTAAAGCGTCGAAGAAATTCTAATTAATTGCTTTCAATTTAAGATTTTTCTGGAATTCTTCAGTTGCACCAGCTTGCAATTAATTTGCATTCCAGTTGACAAGAAGACTAAGCCACAAACTGAAGTGAATTGAGATGACCAGTTGCGCTTCTTATTTTTCTTTTTCGCAGAAAGAATGAACATCTATGCAAAAGTTTGCAATAAAAAATATGCAAACTAAGTCTCACTACTATTCTTAACAAAAAATTTTGCCTACTTTATCGTTTAAAAATTTCATATTTCTTATTTCTAAATATTCTTTATATCTATAATGTCAAAATTTTTCAGTTGGAAGTGAAATCACTTAACGGAGTTATTGCAGTTTTGCATGACCTTCATAAATATAAAAGAATCACTGCAGAAAAAGATGATGTATATAGAAATTGTGAAAAGTTCAAAATATTACAGGCTGTCGAATTTCTTATGGATTCGAAAAGGAAAGTCATTATCACTCGTCTGATAAAGGGAATAAAGAGATGAAGTTCCTAATAAGTGATTATTGGAATTGAGATGATGATGATGATAATTCATTTCACTTTGAACAAGAAATAAGCTTAGTAAGTCTGAATGACAATGATCTGTAAGTTATGCTACCAGTTGATAGTTTTTGAAATGTGACAATCTTCGTGAAAATAATTATAATAAAAGCCTAAAAATTCTATTTGAATTTTAAACAAGCTATGAAAAAAAAAATTCAAAATGTATGGATACAAAAATTTTTACTTTGGTAACGAACTAGTCCAGAATTTATAATTAAAAACCATAAAGGCCAGTGTATTGCTGCATATTACTTCGTCATCGCAGCTTTTTTCTATCCCATCTTCTATGATCATTATCTCTGACATCTTATATTTTTCAATCTGGGAATGAGAAAGTAATAAGAAATTCATTGGAAACATATTTTATTATACCTTTGCAGGAATATTTGTGCTTAGAGAGAACTTTGACAACATTAAGCAGTTGAAATAGAAATATTTCTTTGAACCGTAATTAAAATTTAATTAATTTAGTAATAGTTTTAAAATTTAGCAGTAATTTCTAACAGTTTTGTCAGGAATTTAAATTTCAAGACTTTATAGTTCTAAAGATGTTGAAAGAAAGTTGAATTTCCATTACAAACTAACAAAACATTGATCTCTTCATAAATCATAATAATGACCCTCCATACCATTTACTATTCATTTTCGCAATAGCAATTTCAGGCGAAAGATACAAAATGCTTTTATTGGATAAATTCAACCTTTGACAAAAATAATTTCTTTTCAAAAAGATTAAAATTGGATGTAACATCACATTAGTCATACTTCTTTGAGACAAATATTGCTCTTAAAAAATCATAAAAATAAATGAATCCGTGAATGAATAGGCGTAAAAACGTAACAGATATCAAATCATCCATAGTAGTATATGACAGAAGAAAGGATAAGCTTTTCTCTTTTGGATCTGATATAAAACAAACTAATTATTTTAGCATCCACTCATATTATACTAGCTATTTCCTGTGTAAGCGGAAGAAAGTTTTAAGATTAGATTTTGTTTCTTTCTTGTCATACTCTTGCTTTATCAAAATAAATGATAAAATAACTTTGAAAATCCGAGTAACTCACATATAAGCACAAAACGTTAGTAAAAAAATCACAAAAATGAAGAATGCTAATGGTAATCGTAGCACATAATAATGAAGTGACTTGTAAAGTATCTGTCAGTAAATTCTTCAATGTTTTATCATTTTTTTGACAGTCTTTTTCTTCCTAAAGCACCTGACTGATTCACTTTGCTTATGAACAATAGCAGAAGATCTTCAGTTAAACCTGAATTAATCTGTATACGGAAATCTGTCGTTGAATATGTAAAATAATGCTTATGAATTCATTTCTTGATATTATAATCATTTTTCCATGTTGCAATAAATTGAATAATTGTCAATGAAATTGCCAAACTGAAGTCACGTCCAATTCATTTGTACTCATTGATGAAAGTGTGACAGTTATAAAGTTTTATATTAGTGAAATGGAAAATTAATTCGAAAAAGATTTTCAAAACATCTAGGAAATAAGGAAGAAATGAAAATAAAGAGCTTTTTGATTCGCTTTCAATTTGTAGAATTTTCATAATTTTTTGCAATCATTTTTTTTTACAGTTAATATAATTACTTTTTATAATTGAAATGCTTAAACTCATATTAAGAAGAAACTTTATTTTTCTTCTTTTTTGATATAAATGAATGCAATCATATATACTTTGTATGCATAATTCATTTAATTAAATGACAACTGAATTTGATGGACTATGTAAAGTTGAAGAAATGAAAGAGTGATATAACGCAGTTAGAGTAGTTAAGAAACAAAGAGAAAGTTTTTCAGGAAGAAAATCATTAAACTTTAAGTAAATTTCTCTTCCATTTTTAGCAGAAAACAGGTCACAAATATTAACTGGCAGGTCATTTGTCATTTTATATTTTGATGTGTGTAATGTGATAAGTACAGTGATAAGCACATTGCGTATTAGTTATCAATAAGAAGGATTTGAAAAAGAATAGATTTCTCTGTTGATGTCCCTTCAGAGATATTCTACTTGTCCTTTGATCTCCATAACTTGAAATGATATTTACCTTCAGTAGACCAGTAGATTAATTACATATTTATTTATTATACAATACAGTTTCTATTTTTAAATCTCATCAAGTTTATGTCAATTAGTCTTTGATCATTTCCCTGATGATAAACAAATTTTGGAAGATTGTCGACTTTGTGAGCATAAGATCGAATCGACAAATCTAATTTCACATAGCAAATGGAAGGAAGGAAAAGTGAATGTGCATCGTTTACAAATAAAGCAAACAGAAAGGTATTCAAATGATTCATCTTTTATTCCTTCGACAACGTATGGAAAAAGGAAGAAGGTCACTGCAGCGTACCCTCAAACTTCTAATTTCCGTCTTTGCTCAGAGATGATATTATTACATGTTCATCAAATGAAAAGCCAACTAATGAATAATCCAAATAAGAAAATAAACTGGGAAGTACTTTTGTATTTCTAATAGAATCCAATGTATGTTTTAAGTAGAATTGATCATATCATTCAGACACACACACAAACAATAAGTTTTAATCGTTAATGGGAAAGAAATACCAAACATTAGTAAACTGATGACCACTGTCTGTGCTTATTCGATTTGAAGAAAATACTTTTTAAACCACTCTGAGTCATATCGGTGATTCAGCTGCTTGCTTACGGTACATTTTGCGCTTAAGTTCGTTCAGTATGCTTTATTCCATGGAAATAAAAGAATAACACTGATGGAAGACATATGGATGCCATGACAATTTAATGGTGCAAAACAAAACTGATAGAAATGCTTTTCTTACGGCGACAAATCAGTAAATATTTTGAATATACTACAACATTGGTTAGAGTTCTCATAAATCAATAATAAAATGTGAGCTGATAAAACTGCAAAAGATTAGCAAGTAAGACAGAAGAACTCACCAGCAACAGGGTTGGAGAATTCCTTAACTGAATCCCGAAAAATCCTAAAAAATTTATCTTAAGTGTCCAATGGTTCCGTCAAAAAACGTAAAAGTTATAAAGATAGATTCAAGAAATATGGGAAATAACTGTTAGTTGGTATTGATATTACAATAGATGAATTAGGTTTATTTGTTTTAGGATGAATCGGTAAAATTCTGGTTATCTTCTTCTTAGTTTTATACAATAATATGCCGAAATGACCATTGGTTATTCTTCATTTCTTCTGAGCCAAATATTTTATGTTTATCGCATACTCACAAAATAAATTCTTTCAAAAAGTTAATCATAATAAAGTATTTCACCTTAAATGACTACTTAAAAAAGAGCCAACTACACTTTCAAGTTACCATTACAAACAGGTGGTATATCAGTAGACTTATAATACCTATGTATTCTATCAGGAAGTACTAATTCTGTATTCCAGTCGTTGGCTACAATATGACAGCCTGAAACATTATTCCCAGTAACTGTTCCACAGTGATTGTTTTCCATTCGATGCGGCATCAGTGTGGGACAATCATTCCTTGGCTCATATCTAAAATACTAGAAAAAATACTGATTGATAATTATTTTTGTGTAAGAACTACCGATAAGTTAATTTCCTGTAATTATTGGAAAAGAGCTATCCGAAGAAAATGGCAAATAAAAGTTGAAAGCAGAATGACATTGATGCAGTTCCGCATAATTTACATTAACTTTGACATCTCTCTAATGACAAACTTGAAAATAGCGGATGTAGTTCCGGATCTTATTGAAAATTCAAAGTCCCAAGTATCATATCTTTCTTTCTTCAGTTCTTGGGGATTGTAAATTATGTGTAAATGCATAGGTAGGAGTGGATGAATAAATATACTGCAAAAGCATTCATTTAAACATTCCCGTATTGGATAGGAGACTCATTTTATATTCTGAATAATTTTTAAATTGGTTAATAACTCAACACAAAAATTTCGCAAACTTTTCTGTAATTATTGAATAAGAGTAAAATATTTAAAAACTTATCAAATTCTCGACGCAACCAAAAAGTTAGATAGTGAAGAAATAATTTTCGGCCACTTTGTGAAATAAAACTGCTTGTGCTCAGACAAACAATTATTAAAATGTGTAAGCATCAGAAGAAAACAAAAAAGAATTTTTTGAAAAAAGAAAACTTAATAAAATAGAGAACTTTTGCTGTCTCTGATGTCGGAAGTAATTAAATTCTGCAAACTAAAGAGTGGACTTTTTAGTTAAAAAATAATTTTTGTTTATCTTTATTACATTCTCTCTGAAACATAAGCAGCCGTAACTTATCGACACACAATTTTATGGCATGCAATTTATCTAATTTACCTAGAAATTTCAGTATTGGTTAGTCGTTTCTTGTGAGAAGTAGTTTGGTGTCCTCGGCAAATTGATGAATTATTATTGCAGCATTTCATACTGTACTTTGCAACATTTCTCCTGAAATTAGATCGCCGTTCGCGAAGATATGCAATTAGCACGCATGAAAATGCAGCGGATGTTGCAACTGCAATTGCTGACAGCGCCATTAGACCTATATGAACCAGCGTTTCTGGTGGACCGTTCACGTGATGCATAAATTCACGTGATTCAGATTCCGATAACTGAAAAATAACAGATTGTTGAGTTAAATCATAAAAGTCATGAAGTATAGTAACATTAAGATAAAGAAGTAGTAGATACAAATAAATTAGCAAACAATATTTATAATTTAAGTATAGGAATAAATAAAAATTAAAGGTGACAAAGTGCTAGTGATTACCTGACCAATAATTGCATAACTTTCGCTGCAAGAGCACCAAGGGCAATTAAGTTCATATTTTTGTATGATTATTGCTGCATTAAAACATTTACCAGTCAGGTTTAAAGTTACTTTATCAGATTGTTGTTGCAAGGGAACTGTTGCTGGTGTTTTTTCTTGTTCTACTGATTTGAATATTAATTCTCGCTGAAAAATTGAAAATTAAAAAATGAGAAATAATGAAAACTGAAAAAATAAATAAAGTAATAATCAAAATACTAAGTGGAACAATGATCACTAAAAAGGAACCTGCCTTATCATCAAAAACGCGAACTGCTTGCGTGGAATCACAGGTTCTTGAAAATCCATAAATTGGATCGACGCCTACTACCTCATAATTAAACGTTATATCTGCAGGTCTTCCTTTACTCCAATAACTTATAAACACATGTGAAGAATCCTAAATCAAATAATCCATTCTATTTTGAAATGAAAATTTATTTTAAAAAGACTTCCACGAAGACCAGCGTAAAGCAACTTATTTAAATTCTAAAAAAATAATTCTGAGAAATTACATTCATTTCAAAGAATATTGAATAAAAGCTCACGAAAAATTCGTGTATAGACCAGCTGGAGGAAGTCCTTTCATCGCTAAGTAAGTTCCATTCAGATAAGGTTAACCTGGAATCGTCACATCCAGCAGAAGTCAGACAACCTTTGGTCCACGTAACAGATACAGGTTCAACGGTTACCCAGAATGACGTTACTGGTGACTGCACAGGCATAGACGGTGAACAGCGTATCAAAAGTTTTCGGGATATCAGAGTTGCTAATGCAATCAGAAAAGAGTGTCTAATCATAATAAGATACCCTGAAATAATATCCACAAATTAAGATTAGATCAGATAAATTATTCCTATGAGTCATAAGTGATTAGTAATTCTCTATAGTGTTTGCAGTTATGTTTCTGCACTTTAAATAACTGATTCCTGCAAAACTAGGCCATTAAATTTAGAAAAAAAATTTGAATGTAACAAAACCAAACAAAAAAAAAAGAAAGATAAGACATTTAAAATATATTACTTGGCAACCTTTCTAGGATAATATTTCCTTCAAAGTAATTCAACTTTTACTATGATTTACTTTTGCTATAATATCTTTCACTATGAAATTTTGTTTGAATCCATGTTTCTTGGGTTTTAGTTATATTTTTTTTACTACAATTTTAACTCATGGAATGTGTTGGTATTTAAAATACTCTTTTGATGTCTTCTTTACAATAACCATTAGACTTTGACTTGTATTTCGGAACACAATCAGTGAAATAAACTGAAACAAGAAAAATATTGGAAGTCGATTTCAAGAAATTAAAGAAGGAATTCCAATTAATCAACTATTTCAAATATTTTATTGGACTTATTTAATTTTATGATTCACTCAGATATCTTCTTTACCTACTAATTTAGTGAAACTATTTCTCAATTCTCAGTGTCCATAATATCATTTGTGTTTATAGAAAAATTTTTTCTTACTTAAAGAATGTAATATTCCCTTAAAATGCGGTTTTATCTTAGGAAAAAATTAGCAATTTTTTCAAGGAATAAGTCCAAAATGGATGACAAAAATTTGTCGCCAAGAGTTAAAGTGCGAAGTCAAAACTAGCCAAGAGCAAAACTGAGCGAAGTCTAAGCCTTAAGATACTGGAATATTTTTCAATGGCCTAACTGAGTCAACCACCATCCATTCTCCATCGATGACTAATGCCTTTTATCAACTCTATACTGACCATAAATTACACTGTGCAAATATATCATTCTACAAGTGTGAAATTAATTTATGAAAAATAACTGCAAATTTTGGTGGTCAGATTATGTGTGACTGCTTGTCAGTAAGATACTCATGTGTTAGAATGAGTTAATAGATAATTTATAAGCTCAAAAGCTTAAATAATGCATACCTTCATATGATATATGTCTTCTCGGAACTATTCACCAATAGGTTTCACGAACTGATTATTCCGAAACTTAGAGCGAATACTGTCAACATCAATAATTTTCTATCTTTGGTAAAATCCTATATTAAAAAGTGACAAATAGAAAGTGAGGTTCTCTCAACAGCGAAAGTATAGATTTAAGAAAGATTTGAGTGTAACTAGGTAGTAGCATTTTTTCATTACATAAAAGAAAGCTAAAAAAAATATATAAATTTTTAATTAGCACTAACAAATAAGAATTCACTTCTAAATCGACTCTCAAATGAGGGAATTCAGTAATTAAGGATATGAAAATTGCTCTCACAGGTATTGGCTTTATAAATAATGGGCGAGTAGGAAAGAGGAAAAGCCTTTCTCTCTCTCTCTCTCTCTCTGTTAAGAAGAAATTTTTGGATTATTTGCAACATCAACAAAATGATTTCGTTATTCAATTTCAGACCAATAGAACCCTACCAATTATATGTCCAGAGAAGTCGTTGAATAAAAAAGTTATTGCATCGACATATTGACAAATTCCACGAGCCATCAACTTATTCAGCACTTTAACAAACTAAAATTGACCCTAAAATTATGGAAAATATAAAAATACAAGCTCATGTAGATTATATTTCTAAATGACATGTTGGAATGTTGCGGAATGGATTAAACATTTGTTGAAGATAACCGATCGTTTTATAATATCAATGAAATAAATCAGATCAAAAAGTAATTTTTGCTGTGCTCCAACATCCAACACTGCACAGTTTCTCTGATTGCACTTAAAAAATTTTTAATAATAAACTACAAAATTTTCTAAAAGCCCTAGAAAAATAAGTCAATGGATTCTAAAAATTTTATGAAAAATTGTGGTCAGATGATGAATATAAATGGAAGACTGTTTCATGGCATTAGCATTCCATGCAAAAATAGAATTCTCCGTTAACTCAAAATGAAAAAGAGCTAAAATTAGGTTTCGCGTTTCAGTAGTGCGAAAGTAGAAAAGTAGTAAAAGCATATTTTATTACTTTTTTACTTTCCTTACAACTTAAATCATTTTACTCACTGCAATATATATTAGTAATTTCAAATTTTTCAGCAACAACGTATAGAACTTTTCAATCTTTGATTTTGTTGTGTTTGTTTCTAATGCAAGGTATGAGATTGAAATATGAAACGTAATGAATGAATAAATGGATTAGCATTTTATAAATAAGTTTAAAGTGCCTGGATACATTCTTCATTTATTTAATATTGCCATATTTCTCTGACCACCCTCAAGTCGTCAACAAACAATAAATGAAATAAAATATTCTACTTCCAGAAACACTGCGACTTTCAATACCGAATGTTTAACTTATTTTATAAAAAAAAATATTTCAGTAGCAATAGATGAATGTGATGATGACAATAATAGCACTGTTAATAGCACTAACAAAAGCAATAATGAAAGCAATAACCAATTTTTTGATGCTATTTTGGACTAGAAGCCAAGCAGGAACATTAAAGAGTTAGAGCCATAATACTACTGGCATAAGTATTGGTAGCAATAGTTCTCACCTTCATTTTTTCTCACTGTTTTCTTTTATTTTGTCTTGTTGCTTATCTTGTTCTTCCTCCTTTAAAATAAGTCATTGACTCTTTTAATTTAGGATTTAATCGACTTCTGAAATCAAGCTTGAAAACATCTACTGAATCGTGTGAATACGTTTCATTCGTTCCCACGGCTCTTCAGTGTTTAAACCAAGGATTTGAATCCTCATTTCAAAAACTACAAACTTGAAGCAACTGCCAATCAATAAAACCATTCCTTTCATTTGCTAAAATTGAAGAAATATCGGAAAGGATACGGAAGAACAGGTCCTTACTGTATAACAGAAATCTTAACCTTTTAGCAATTTCATAGATCTGTCATGTGAGTAATAATCTTATGCTAAAGTTTGAGATTCTGCAATTTGCACGCTCGAAAAATAAGATTTGAGGCTAAAATAAGAAAGCCCATATGTTGAGGGTCAGTTAGTTGAACTGACACACTGTCGACATTTTGATAACATATCCGCTCAATTATGGCGCTTTGTAAATCACATGTCAAAGAACAAACAGGTCCAAGAAAGATAAAGATGTCCTCGCTTCCAACTATTCCCAGGAGACCTTATAAGCAAAACGGATAGCAGCAATATCTCTTTGAATTAATTCATTGAACTGACATCGGATTATTTTATGCTTCTACTAGAGAATGAATTTCATTTCAATAGTACCATAAATTTACATATTTCTATATCTAAAAAGTTAAATTTGAGGTCTGAAAAAAGTTCAGTTATAGTTAAAAAAAAGTCAAAAACTTTTTCAGACTTTTACTCACAGTTAAGTCTCTGAATATTTCAAACTTTTATGCCTACGATTTCTGAACTATTAATGAAAAAAGATTTCTTGTTATTTTAAAATTACTGAAGAAAATCCAGAAAAAGAAAGAGAGGGAAGCCTTTTTGCTCCATTTCGCTTAACAGAAATTTGCTTTGTCTCTTTCTGTTCTGTTAATGACAATTTCAAACGCAAGTAGAAATCATCCACTGATGAAGCTAATCATCCAGAAAATATGGCTTTTTCATTGTAGCGCGTCGTCAAACCTTTTATTTTACTATAGCTGTAATATACTTATGAGAAGAAAAATAACTTCAAAGCATTGCTGCCTGCATTACTCGATGCAACTGGTAGATATTTTGTGTACTGCGTGGTCAAAAGTTCACCGCTCAATTTTCAAATATTTGAAAGACACAAAAAAAGTCGAGAATGATAACTATAGCGGTTTCTTTATTCATTTATTATCCTTTGGTATCATTAAAATGTCGATATTACAGCACTGATCTGATGGATTGCAAAGGATAGAGTTACAGTCATTACTGCAAAGCACTAAGGTAATATAATATTCTCGAAGATAGTTCCTCTTACACTTCCCCCACCAGTATTTTCAGAAACGGCCACTTTGACATGATATGAGAGAATTCAACATTTTGTGGTTGTTATAATGTATTGAAAGAAAGATCTAAAAGGAAAAGTAAAATTGTTTACTTCCGAGTTCTTAAAAGTGTTACTTCAAATGATACGGCAACATTAAAGAAAGAAGTGAAAGCGAATTTACATTGACTTCTTAATCAACTTTTAGGCTTCCAAAATAAATTGAAAAATCATTTTTAACTATAATAATAAATTTCAGGGACCTCAAACATTGTTTAGCTTTAAAAAGCTTAGCATAGATAAGCAAAGAGCAATTTATTTTGTTTTCGAAATAGACATAACTCTCTGCTTCATCAGTATGTAGCGAGTGCAGAAGAGAGTGTCGTCATAAGTTTATTCTCATCATTTCATTACTTTAACCAGTTTCATAATCATTTTGATGAGGATTGAAATGAAAAGTGATAGACAAGAATTTAAAGATCAAAGGGTCGATCAAGGTTCAAAACAAACTGATTCCCAACAAGTATCTTTTACTACTTGGTGTGCAACTTCAGGGAGTAGGAGTTCAATTTTAAAGTCGGGCGACTGAGGCATGGTAGTAATAAATACTATAAGATTTTAAAAGCTATTAAATGGACTACCCAGAAATTTTTGTGCAGAAATGTGCTTTTTGATTTTCATGAAATACAAAATATTATTTCAAGTATCCGAAACTTTAGGCGCGCTAATTGTCTTCGACTGTGGCAGACTAGATGAGCAATGAAAGTTTTTCCAACAATTAATCGAAGTTGGATTTAGTATTTCATGACACTGGAAGTCAATTACCAGTAATAAAGATTGAGCAATAGAATCAATAATATGCTGCAGACATAGAAATAACAGTACAAGTAAAAGTAAAAAATGAAATGTGGTCTGGATATATGCAAATTCATAACT